ATATATATACTTATATATGGGGAGGCACGATACGTGCATGCATCTATACCTATACAAAAGTAAATAAATAAATAAAATATATTTTTTTATATATATTATATATTTATATATATATACATATATACAGATATATTTATATAAATATATAGTAATATATATATATATATACATTTTTTTTTTTTTTAATATATTTATATAAATAAATATATTTTTATATAAACTTTTTATTATTCTATCAACGCCTTGGGGTGTATGTGCATGCAGAACGTTTGCATGCGCCATCAACTCCTTTTCTGGCGGTTTTCTTTTTCTTCTTTTTTTACTCTTTCTTGATTTTTTTCTTACTAATTTTTCGAGGGTTTAGGGTTTAGAGTTTAGGGTTTAGGGTTTAGGGTCTAGGGTCTAGGGTTTAGGGTCTAGGCTTACCAATTCACCTAGGGTTTAGGGTTTAGGGGATAGGCTTACTAATTCTTCTAGGGTTTAGGGTTTAGGGTTTAGGGTTTGGGAGGAACTCGAGACACCCGACAGAAAAGCGGGGGATACAAGCATGAGGGTTTAGGGTTTAGCGATTACGATGTAGGGTTTAGGGTTTAGGGTTTAGGGTTTTTATCAGTGCTGTATGGCTCCAAGAAAACCAATACAACTCGGGGAGAAACGCAGACACAGAGACAACCCCAACCTATATACATATATATATATATATATATATATATATATATATATATATATATATATATATATATATATANTATATATATATATATATATATATATATATAATTTATAAAGAATTGGGGGTTTTGCGGGGTTTTCTTCGGCGCGTGTTTTCTGCTGTCACTTTATACATAATGCGTCTGGATGGACGAGGGTTTAGGGTTTAGGGTTTAGGGTTTAGAGTGAGGGTTTAGGGTTTAGGTTTTAGGCTTTCGGTTAGTGTTTTGGGGTAAGGGTTTAGGGTTTAAGGTTTAGGGTTTAAGATAGAGGTTGAGATGTATGCTTTACGGTGTAGGCGCTCAGACTGTGGTTCAGGGTTTAGGGTTTAGGGTTTAGGGTTTAGGGTTTAGGGTTTAGGTGGTTGTGCTGCAGTGGCGTCGCCGTTAGTGTTGCTTCCATTTAATTGAAGGTCTCTTCTGTGTTTGCATAAGTTTAGAGAAGTGTTAAGATTTAGGGGTTTATGTTTTAGGGTTTAGGGTTTAGGGTTTAGGGTTTAGGGTTTAGGGTTTGAGGGTCTAGCGGCTGTGTATGGTGTGCATGCAGTCGGTGGCTTGGTGTGTGTGTGTTGCTGTTTTGTTATGTAGAGAATAGAAGAAGAAAATGGTATTAAATTTATAAATTTATGTTTATTAGTTTATATCTCTGTGTTTGTTTTCTCGTTGAGTTGAGGTGTATGTACACCCCAGGCGGTGCGGTGGTTCTGCTTACCTGTTAGGGTTTTTGTGTTTATTTTTTTTTGTTTATTCTTTTTGTTGCGGCAAAAAAAAGAAAAAAGTGTTTTATAAT